CAGTCACCATGGTATGCCATGTTCTAAACCTCCTGGCTTCTTTCCTCTAAGGTTTAGAGCATAGGAAGGATGGTCCAGTCCAATCCACAACCAAAGAATATTTTACTTGGTAGGACTCCCAGAAGAACTGAATGCTCAAGATGAGCCTCTTAGTTTGAAAAAAGAAAAACCCTTTAGTACTAGAGTTGGTAGAAAGGGGGATGGCTATCTTAATCGCACATGCATGGCCTGGGAATCAAGATAATCCAATGGACTCAGCCTCATTAGAGACCAATCCATGTGATAGAAATCTATTTTCAGCTTTGGAATAGAAGGCTGTGCCTTCCACTGGAGATTCTCACTCTTAAGCATGCCAGGCTGGATTGAACTGAGCATGGTTGAGTGATTTAACAAGGCGCTCACCACCATATGTTGCAYGGTGGCTATAGCTCTCTATTCCCCTCATCCCGATTTTAGCTGACTCAGAGGAAGGTATTCAAATGATCCATTATGAGGACAACTAGATGGACCAAAAGCCTCCATTTTCTCAACAGAAATGGATGTGACCTAAAGTAATTATGCTTGGGTCCCTAGCATAGGATAAAAGTGCTTAAAGCTGTCTTACTTTTATCCTCTAGGGTTACCAAACTCAGCTYTCTTCAGCAGCACAAGATGTGGAATCATATTTGAATTTAGAATAAACAACAAACAACTTTTCAGTATAATTATGTCCCAAATATTGTACTTTGGTCTATTTTATCTGGAATCCTACTTTGGCTTATAGCCAAGGGAACCCAGCTTGAATCTAGGAGGGAAAAATCATGACCATGCCCTGCTTATTGTGTTGGACTTAGGGTGCCCTCCAAGGAGAGTAGAGTGGTTGGAAAGCAGGGAGGGGTGGAATGAAGGAATTGGAACTCATGGGTCTCTTGCAAGTCCCTAGAACGTGGGTGCAGTGTTAAAATATGGAGATTGTGAAAAACCATAAAATGGTCATCACAGAGATTGCAAATGTTTGGGGTAACATAACCAAACTCCATCAGGTTGGGAGTTAGAGGTCAGGGATCCTAGCTGTACCATTAGGCAGATGTGTGACCTTCGGGGAGTAGTTTGTCCTCTCTGGGTCTGAATTTCCTCACTGCAAAATGTAAACCCTGTGGGGACTCTAATATCCGTGAGTTCCGTTCTGAGAACCAGAGCCTTGGAGCTGATTCTGTCCATCTGAGAAACCAGGTAGTGGGGCTACCAACGGCCCCATCTTTTGCCCCAACTGGCCAGCTCCCTACAATCGCTGAGGTCTGCAGGATTCTGGGGCTCCAACACTGTTCTCCAGCAGATCCTGGTCTCTGAAGGAGGAGGCTGKAGTGGCCAGAAGTCAAGGACGGTCTGTGCCAATTAATTTCTCTGGACTAGTCTTTTCCTTAGTCCTCTCCATGCTTTTTGTATGTCAGACTTTGTTTTAAGCCTTACAAGACTCTCTATAGTCAATTGCTAAATCTATGGTATAGGTGATTGATCATAGTTTATAAACAGTATGATTTTTTAAATTAAAAGGCTATTGCTGACAGAATATAAAGCAAAACTCTAAGGTAATACTTCATATATTTAAATAAAATATCTGCTCACTGGTGACAAAAATTTGTTATTTGAGGATGGTTTCCATATTTGGAACTGGAGCCAAATTTGAGGAATGAAGTCCTTAAAGTGGGTAATATTTTCTGGTCCAACACAGGTCATGACCATAAAGAAATGAGACTGGTTCTTGTATGGCTCTTCAAATATGTACACTACAGACAGCTCTATTTTAAAATGTTTAAGCCAGGAATGGTGTTTTGAGCTTGTCAGTCCCAGCTACTTGGGGTGGGGGTATGGGGGAGGCTGAGGCAGGAGGATTGCTGGAGTCTAGGAATCAGGAGGCCAGCCTGGGAAACATTGTGAGATCCCATCTCAAAAAAGAAAAAGAAAATAATAAAAAGTAAAACTGTTTGGAGGTTCTAGAAACATCTTGAGATTTTGAGCAGGGACAGTATTAGTGGAATTCTCGAGTTTAGCAACGAATACCTGCATTCTCTTTGTTGACCTCTGTGCTTATCCCAACGTGACTCGAAGTTCAGTGGGGACAAAGCCAGAGTCTTTTCAATTGTCTCTGCAGCGCCCTTCAGTTACTGCCATGTCTCAGCCATTGCTCAATAGCAGTTGGCTGACTGAGTGAATATAAAGTGTCTGCAGGAAATGGTCCCTCTTCAGCTCTCAGAAGACATGCTGACGACGCTGTGCAGGGGAACCACACCCTCCTCCTCACGCTCCCTGCCTTCACCTGCCATATTGGTTTCACTAGAGGGTGGGAAATAAAAATATTCCATGCCAGGTGTACCATCCATGGGAAAATCCCACAGGCATGGGATTATCTCACGCCACAGATCTCTATGACCATTTTCCCCCCACTCTTCTTCTCCCTAAATCTGGACCCCCCCATTTGGTTTTGCCCGGTGCTCAACTGATTATATGTCTGGCTCCAATATCAATTATTCCACTTCCTCTGCTTGGCCCCCTCCCTCTGCCAAATCCTCGTGTGTGCTCAGCTCTTCCCTGTTCCCATAGCCTCTCCTGAACTGAGAGGAGACGGGACGTGCCTCAGCAGCTACCCTGTCATGAGTCATGTCTGCCATCCTGCCAGCAAACGGGTGAGGAGGGTGGGGCCTGAGGGCKCGGGGAAGGGAAGAGATTTTCACTGGTTGTCAGAAAATGGGCACAGGGAGGGGTGGGAGCATTAAAGTCAGCAAGACAGCTGAGGATTGAGTTAATTAACCAGAAACAAAGCACTCAACCTAAGCCACATGAGGATGGATTTCAGAAACACCTCCTCCCAAAGAGTTCTTCTACAGATTTCCATGGTTACACTGTCCACTGGATAACACTCACAGTTATTGTGGTATGCTATCAACCTGCAAGGAAAGCAGACACTTCTACTTTAGGGATGAGAAAACTAATGCCCAGAGTGGTTCCAAGAGTGAGAGAACCAGGGTAGAATGTGACACTTCTAAGCTCTGACCTGGTGACATCCTGTATGTAAGGACACAGAACATCTTTAGTGTCAGCATGATTACTCACTTGGATTGCGGGTCCAGCAACCTGTCTTCTTTGGGTTTCACCTAATCCCTTTACCTACATTACTAAGACAATTTCTCAGGGTCTTTCTGGCCATCACCCTTTGTGTCAAAGCCCTTTCACATGTGTGTTTGATCTGCCAGCTTCCTGGGTTCAGTCATCCCTATTGTATTCATGTTGTTTTAAGAGTGTTGGCTGACATCAAGAATCATGGRTAGCACTTGTGTGTGTTTTTGTTTAACTTTGGACAAAGACTTGTAGGCAAGCGCAAAAAGTAAATCCTCTTTTGCAACCCAGAGCTCATTGTTCAGTATGAGTTTTGATACATGTAAGCAGGAATACTGTACCTAAGAGAACTTAAAGTGAAGAGATATTGATAAATGAAAAGGTTGGTTCTAAGTCTAAGAAGTTAATAAAAAGCACAGGTCATGAGAATCTCAGCTTTGTTGATTAAATGTTCCAATTTTCATATTGTGATACAGAAGGAAGGATTTAAAAAAGAAATCATGGAAAAACTGCAGCAAATTTAATTCTCTTATTTTTAGTGCCCAACAAATACGTGAAAAATACACAGCCACTAAATATTAGTCCCAAAAGAACTGAATCAACAGGGCTRGGGTTGTGGCTCAGTGGTAGAGTGTTCACYTAGCACCTGCGGGGCCTTGGGTTCGAYCCTCAGCAACACATAAAAGACAAATAAAATAAAGGTATTGTGTCCACCTACAACTAAAAAATAAATATTAAAAAAAGAATTGAATCAAACCAATGACAAAAGAACACCACATTCATAAACCACCCACCTCCTTCCTAGCCCGTGACCCAGGATCTTTGACAATCAGGAGTGGCATCTGCGAGCAACAGGAYTGGAAGAAAATGCTACTGATTCAGAGCCCCAAGAAGACAGAGCCCCGGAACTGACTTTCACTCCCATCTCCAAAATGTCTCACAAAATAATCCCCAAGAACAAGGCATGCTAAAATTCATATCAGTGAAAATAAATGAAAGTCGGAGTTTGGGGACTGGGAGAATTTCAGAGTGCCTGGTACCCCTGATTTTAGAGTAGAAGAAAACTGTATTGGTTTGTACAATTATATCAAAAGCACCTACCATAGTGCTTGGCACAGAGTTCCCCTCAGTAAAAATATATTCAGTAAATGGTCAGATGGGTAAAGTGGGTTGAAATCATATAGGAAGAGAGAGACTGAATCAGGATTAAAGGATCTAGAATAATCTCTAGCCATATGGATTTTTAAAGAATTGTTGTAATCTGTTTTTTTTTAATGCACACTAGTTCATTTAATCCTGAAAATACTCCCAAGTAGAATTTGTAATGTCTGCTTTACCTGAACTCGAGGCCAGAGGTTGAAGTAACTTACTCAAAGTCACAAGCTTAGTGAGTGACAGATCAAATGTGAGCCCAAGTTTGTCTGACTTAAAACTCAAGCAAGGATTCACTCTAGCACCTACCCCTTTTTGCAGGAGTCGCTGCAGTGGAMATGCTCTCTTGGCCTCAGGGGACCTTCTAGAGTCCCTCCTTGGCCATCRGAACATACTAAAGAAGGAACACTTTTCAGGATTTTCCTAGAAACAGCTAAACTGGTCTATAAATTGGCCTTAAGAATTCAAACTTCTCTCAAATACATGACTGAATCAAACATATAGGAAAATGGACTTTTTAAATGCTCTCTTCTTTATGCTTTGTCTAAAATGTTCACTCAAATATAACCAACCAGCCAAACATGAGGCTACATGCTGAACCAGCTACCAAAGAACTGCAGAACTGATGACCCCTGACCCACTAGCCAAGACCTATATCACTATTTCTTAGCAATCAGTGCAGGCCTTCTCCACCTGGAACCCCAAATAATCCCCCCAAACATTCCAGGTCCTTTTGAATGGAAGCAGTCCCTTACCGGATAGCCCCACGAGCCATTTCCTGCCTGGAACTTGGAGTAGTAGCTGCTCCGGCTGGTGGTCCCATAGTTGTTGTAGTTGTCAGTCAAGCCGTCGTACATGGAACCTGGAGAGCAAAGGAAGGGGGTTACCACAGGGATGGCAATGATGTTCCCCCATCCTCCTAGGGCATCCAGGGCATCCAGGTCTACCACGCCCATGGAGTTCCTGAAGGAGGAGGGTGGGCAATCTCCATCTCCCTCCACAGCCAGGGCCAAGGGAAAGGCCACCACAGACTGTTGCAGGGACAATGCAACAGAGCGTTTCGGTTGACCTATTTTAGAGAGTCTAATAGCTTCCCTGTGGCTTGAGGCTGGTTGACACATACAAGTCAGGAGGTGGCCCAGAGGGTCTTGAAGCACTGCTATTCCAGTCCAGGGAATCATGACTCTGTATTCCGCAAAGATCAGCTTCTCACTTGGGGAATTCAGGCAGGATCTCGACATTACAGGTCCAGAGCCCCAAGGTCAAAGCCACAGAGCAGCGAAGGCTGATGAGAGTCTGGATTCAAACCTAAGCCCAGCCCCAACAGATGACCAGGTTACCTTCCGCCTCTTCCTTCATTTCCGAGGCTCTCCAACTGAAGAGGGAGAAGCGATCAACCTCAAAGGACCGGTGAGGATTAATTAATGTTTTCACAGTGCTTGGAGACCCACAAATGACAGGCTCCAAGGGAAGACAGAGTGTCATTAGGGTTATTAGGGGTAAAGTGGCTTTGAATCACAGAAAGCAGAACTAGATTTTGGGTTCCTGGTGGGACCACCCCCCCCCACTTCTCCCTTTCACCAGATTGGCATGGGGGCTCTAAGGGACATCCCCAACTCTGCAGGACCCTCTTATGACTTTGCTAACTTCATTTCCCTTGCTAACTGCCTTCCCTCCTGGGTCACAACCATTGACTTTCATGGRTCTCGAGACTCACCTCCTCCTCCGGGAAGCTCATTCTAATCAGCCTCTGAACACATACTGCCCTGACTTCTGTATCCATCACTGCCCATTCCCTCAGCTACCCTGGGAGTTTCAGGAGGGTCAAGCCATGGACCCAAGGCCCAGACTTCTAGAGCAGATTTTGCTGTACACTCTTGTTAAATATGGCCTCTGGGAAAGAAGGTAAGAGGGATCCAACAAGAGCCTCCTGGCAGGAATGTGCACAATTCTTTTTTCCTAAAGCCATTGTCACACTCCCTATTTGAAACCCTGTCTAGGGGGAAGAGGGCTTGGTTGGTGGTGTCCCCTGGCCTATCAGCCCCTCCTCTTCTGCCATACCCACTGAGACTTCAAGAGTTTTCCCAGCAACTGGATGGTCTGAGCTGAGGTCAATGGGAATATCAGAGGCGCAGCATTGGAAAGAGGCCAGCATCTCTTCTTGGGGATACCTCCTCTGTCCAGTGCCATATGCCCATACATAGGTCACAGAAGAGGGCCATTCCCTTAACTCCCATTCCCTATCATGGAAGACCGATGAACATTAAGGCTATTGGGCTGTGGCAGTCACAATTTGCCCTGGACAAGAGACTAGACTTATTGAAATCAATCCCATCTGGCACTTAGGCAAGTGACATGCTTTCTCTGGATCTTAGCTTCCTCTTCTGTAAAAAGAGGGTGTTGGCTTCTCTGCACCCCAAAGGCCCCATAGAGCTCCAGTATTGCCTGGTTGTATTATTATAGTGACACAAGTTCAATGGCATTCAGAAGGGCCAGACTTCTCCTGAGACAAAGCTCAGCTTTCAAGGAAGAAGAACAAACATCTAAAGCTAACCATCGCCTCCTTTGCCACCTGCCTCAAGCTTCTTCCAGAGAACCCTATGCCTGAAATCCTCGGCGCCTCCTTTGCCACCTGCCTCAAGCTTCTTCCAGAGAACCCTATGCCTGAAATCCTCGGCGGCCCAGGTCTAGGCCTCACTACTGAGGACGTTCCCCTTTGAGCAAGCCCTGGGGCTCTGCCATGGCCCACTGGGCCCTGACTTACTCCAAACCGCTGATAATGCAGCCAGTTAGCTTCTCACCCTCTCTGCAGCTGCTTCTCTGGGAAGACTGGAGGAGTCTTGTGGGATCGGTCACCCAGAACTAGTTAGTTCACAGAGAAGAGGGTGCAGCCAGGCACACACAGTCAGGGCTCTAGGGAGCTGATAGCCAGGTCCCTGCCTCCCCTCTGCCCAGCCCACTATTACCCCTGCTAAGGCTTGGCRGGCCAGAGTCTGCCTGGTTCTCACCTTATGAGAGGTATTTCTCTCCAAAGGGCAGGCATGGGTCAGCCAGCTGCTTCCAGATGGAAAATCTGGGGTGGTGACAGAAGGGTTCTATGGAGCCCCAGGGGGGACTCCGACTTGGAGAGGCATCCCCCAAAGGTACCCACTGGGGCCTCCGCCCTTGATCAGCTTGACGGGACTTTCCCTCCAGGTCTYCAGATGAAGCGCCTCCTCCTCCCACACCCCACACCTGCCCCACTGCCCTCTCACATGTTCTTCTCTGTACAAAGGTGGGGGGCTCAGTATGCCATGGAGGGAGGGGGTGGACACACGTATGTAGAAGCAGGGRTGGGATGCTCTATAGTGCCCCAAACCAGTGACCATGTCCCAGCCATAACTCTGTTCTGGTGACAAGAAGTGTGGACTGTAACTTTTACTTGGTTGGGCCAAGGCCTCTGGGCCCTTCCAGAAAGTTGCTAAAGTTATCTTTCAAGACTTGTCTGCAACCGGGGACTGCTTGGCTCCCTGTGAGAGCAAGGCTACCATCACACCARCCAGTCCTACCTCTCTGGCATAAGGCAGCTGCACTTTTGGCAATGGCGTCAAGGGAGGGGGGAGTCCAGAGATGCCATACACCTGAAGTCACACCAGCAGTGTGCTAGATAACTGAGTGGTCAGGTGGCAGGTGAGCTCTGTCTATAAGAGACCTACTCACGCAGAAAAGCTGTTTCCCCTGCTCCTGACCCCAGAGTTATGGCTGGTAAGCAATGTCCTCTAAAGCCAAGTTCAACAGCAAGAACATGGGACTTCTCAATGAGGTCAATGTTGATAACCCCTTCTCCATCCAGTTCCCCCACTTCTACAGACTCACTCTGGGAAGCCTTTCCTGACTAATGATACCTCCATCTCTGTCTTCTGTCTATACCAGTCTTTACCACCAGGTACTTTGGGCACTTTCCAAAGCAAGAATCATATTTCTACTTTCTTGAGGATCTGGGGCACAGGGCACTGCTCCAGCAGGGACTGGATCTAACTGGTGCAAGCTGGCCGTTTCTGTTGACCAATTCTTCTCCCCTGCCCAGCCCTGTGGTGAAGGCCTCCAATACCTGGTGCCTAGATGCTCAGCCGTCTCCATTTAATGCCAAATGGGATGAGGGTCTCTGAATTCTACTCAACCAGGGCTTCCTCCACCCAGGAGGTTTCCAATGGGTGGCATATAATGGGACAAGACAGGAGCTGAGTGCAGTTTCAGACAACCAAAGCTACTCCCTAGAGTAGGATTCTTGGTTCTAGGAGAGGTAAAGAGAGATGGTCCTTGCTCCCAGGTCACTCCACARAATCACCACCATCCCTCTCAGCCAATCACATGCCTTTCTACTCTTCTCTCTAAACAGGTGCGTTGACCATGAGCAAAAAGATGGTGGCTTCACAGTGAAGCTGGCTGCCAGTCCAACTTCCATGTCATCCCCAGAAGGCATCTACCCACCCATGGAAACCTAAGGTCAACACACAAATACCTCTGAGCATCTATTGCTTTCCTTAACATACAAGCAATTGGGGTTGGTCTGTCCACAGAGCTTGTCTTGTTTTATGCCAATGTGAAATTTCAATGTGCAAAACTGAGTCAGAAAATCTATCACTTGGAAGATCAATTTCTGCATGCAGCTTCCCCTGGGTGCCTTGGACAAGGACCGGCTGATTATCTCTTATGCCCATAGAGGTAACCCAAACTTTCTCACCTACAAAAACTTTTGAAAATGGAGGYAGCTCCCTGTTAGGATACATTGAATTGTCTCTCCCATGGGGACAGGCAAACCATTGCAGGGTGACTCATCCTCTTCTACCTCCAGGCTTTCAAGTAGGTCACACCCACTGCACCTGAAACATTCTTTCTCTCCTTCTTAGCCAATCCCTCTCCTTGTATTCAAAACCTTGCACAAAATTCAGCTAAGAAAGGTGGCCCCACCCAGCCCCGAGCACTCCAAGCCCTTCAATATAACCACTGCTTACTCTGTGGGTCCCTTGGGGTGTTGTGCTATATACCCTCTGTGTGTGTGTGTGTGTGTGTGTGTGTGTACTCATGTGTGTGTCCTATGCAGCCTTCCTCCAGAAAGCAGGGCCTGGGTGTCCCCCATTCAAACTAGGATCTTCTACATCAACTAGATCCACCTTTCTCCATCCCAGGACCAGGGCTCTCAGGACACTGGCCTGCCTGACCAACAAGCAGTCCCCTGGGGAAGAAGGCACCTGGAAGCCCCTCTGCTCTCCCCTTCTCCCAAATCTATCCCCTTTGCTGGGCAAGGGACATGTCACAGGTCAGCTTCTCCAGAGGTTTATCTCTGCTGCTTCTGTCTCCTATGTAAGACTGAGGTCTCTTCTGGCTCCTTCTGCATTGGAGTCAAACCCAACGATCCCTCAACATGAAGAGCTTGAGAAAGAAGCCCATCAGCTTTCAGCATTGAAAATGCCTCTAGTTCATTCCCTAAAATCTCCTCCACCCATTCTGTCCAGGGCGAGGCCCATAGCAAGGGGACTTTAAATGAGGAAACAAGAATTGTCAGGAAGACTCTTCTGAGACAGCATCCCTCAGAGATGTTCAAGAGTGGGTAGGACTGGGCTGCGTGAAAGAGACAGGCACATGTCTCAACAGGGAGAGTGGCCGGCCATCTCCTGGCCCTCTACCTGGCTCCTAGAAGCACTGAGGACTGCTTTTCCCACTCTGGAGCTTCCAGAAGCCTGAGGAGGCGAGGAGTTCAGTACAACCTCACCAGGCACTCTGGTGTGGTTCTCGGCCTTTACCTGGGCACAGGCAGAGAATAGAAATGCCGAAACAAATTGGGTGCTCTCTCCTCTCCCTCACCAGCACACATGACTCCCC